CCACAACACATTTTAAATGCATTCATAAAAGGCAGCATTTACAACAAATACTGACAACATGAGAAAAACAACCACTTGTCCTTCACTTATGATAAGCCCCCACTCCACAGACCTGGCTTGTATTAAAGTTTTGTCTCTTTTAGTGATGCACGTTAATCCCGCTCTTAAGACTCTTCCCAGACGTGATGGTATTGGTTACAGTGGTGGGATTTCCATCTCTTTTTGGAGAACCGGTGTCCTGGGAATCCATCCTACCTGACAAACCATCCTACCCGCTGTTTCTGCGCACACGAAATTAAGTGGCAAACCGTCCTACCTTTGTGAATATTATCTAGAAAAATTCAGCTCGGCTCACTAAAAAGATCCAGCTTTTTCGGCTCCCAACCAGCTCTTTCAGGTTGTTTTGTTGCTTTAATTAATTTATTATTAACAATAATATAAAATTATGCACAAAAGAATTACTAATGTAAAAAAATGGTTTTATTTATATGTTTATATATAAATGGTAAATGGCCTGCATTTGTATAGCGCTTTTCTAGTCCATAGGACCCCAAAGCGCTTTACACTACATTCAGTCATTCACCCATTCACACACACATTCACACACTGGTGATAGCAAGCTACATTGTAGCCACAGCTGCCCTGGGGCGCACTGACAGAGGCGAGGCTGCCGGACACAGGCGCCACCGGGCCCTCTGACCACCACCAGTAGGCAAACACGGGGTTAGTATCTTGCCCAAGGATATTTGGCATGCAGCCAGGGATCGAACCACCGACCTTCTGATTAGTGGCTGACCTGCTCTGCCACCTGAGCTACAGCCACCCAAAAAAGAAAATCATGTTATTTATTTAAAACAAGTGTTTGGGAGCAATCAATTGTTACTTCCTGGCTGGTTTATGATACTCCCTGGCCTTGTGGTAAGCACCCCGACGAACTCAAGCCCCCGCGAGCCGCTGCACTAGCGCATACATACAGAATAAAAGAGATAAGCCCTTAGAACGGTAACAAAAAGCCTCACAGTTCCATGCACCTTAAGCATATTCCTGATGTGATATGGTCTTTTTACGGTGTGTTTTTGGAGAAAAGATTTGTAGACGTGGAAGGGACCTTGGAGTTTTTACTGTTTTGGAGTTTTTTTGTACGTTTTGGTTCAGAGTGTACGTGTTTGAGTTTGTATGTGCTTTGTCTGTAGGGGCCACTGAAATATACTTTTATTTATTCACTCCACATAAAATGTAATAAATAAATCATATAATACAAAAATCAACTATTCACATTCAACTTTTAACTATTTAAATTTTCAGCTTTTTCCTTTTACAAATTTAAAGTGAAACAACACAAAACACTGCAAACCACAACACAATTAAATATAAATTATAATATGAAAACAAAAAGAAGATGCACATTCTCTGTCATATGGGCCTGCATGAATAAACTTTCTGAATCCTTTATCATCTGCAACTGAAAATAGTTGTGGATGATTACTATACCTTTCTAATGTGATGTTGTCCCTGGCTCTCTGTCTCTCCCTCCTGCTCTGTTCCTGTGCTACTGAGAGTGTAACTACCTACACTCTAGGGCTGCTCGATTATGGCAAAAATGATAATCACGATTATTTTCACTGAAATTGAGATCTCGATTATTTATTTAACCCTTTAAGACCTACCATAGAACCAAGTCGGCCAGAGCTTATATATATATATATATATATATATATTTTTTTTTTTTACTATATATATATATATATATATATATATATATATATATATATATATATATTTACATGTTGTAGTGCCATTTGTGGGAGCATTTCAAGTTGTATACATCAATACAACTGTTATAGCCCTAATTTTAATAATATGTCTGCATTAAGTCCATAGTAACTACATAAACTGCAAAAAAGTGCAATAAACTACAAAAAAATTGAAAATCGTTTTTTTTGTTTTTTTACATATATTTCTACTTGGAGAAGTTTAAGAGGTCTATCCCTCAAAACTTTAAATACAAAAAAGTGCAACAAAAAAAAATAGTGTATAACAACAGGATAAAATATTTTATTGTTGAAAATGTGTCTCTATCAAAGTTTTGTTTAATTTTGGAAAGTAGATACACAATTTTTAATATACACTGCAAGTGGAGGACAGAGAAAAAAAAAGCAAAAAAAAACAATTCCTATGAATGGCAAAATTCTGCAAGACGAACAAAGGAAGGAAGAAGAAAACAGCAGGTGCATCAAAAATAAAACTCTACTATTTTTCCGAGACAGATTGCAAATCGAGTTCCTAAGCATCTCAGATACCAGAAAGAACTATTCAGAAGAGAGAAATAGTCAAACATGAACCCAGTATATTTTTTAGGGGGAGAAAGAAGGGGACCCTATACCGATTAATC